GACAGCGACAATCTATTTTAATCCTGTTCCTGTAGTGGCCAAGAGGATGTGTATCAGAAACCATAAACGGTGCAGTGGAATGGTTGTGCTAAATGGGAGACTATCTGACCCTAACAAATGTCTTCTGACCGCACCATTATTAACGCGAGGCTTCCATCACACGCAGTGACGCTGCGCATACAACAGTTGTCAAAGATGGATAGTCGGTGGAAATGACCTGACTGGAGAGGCCAAATTTCGCATTCGTAGAGCAACACGGCGCGCACTGTTGAGCAATGCACACACCCTTTCAGTGAGCGGGGCATAGCGTGCCGGTGCCAAAGATATCGCAGATTAGCAAAAGACAGTCCTATTTAAATACGCGTTGAGGAATTTCACCGAAACCTCCGATAGCCTTTATCCAAACATCGAGACAGACGAAGCTCTCGAACACTTTCAAACTTCCACTACCTAAGGAGGAGCTGTTTTCTGCCAATCCTGCACCAGCGCCTTGCACTTGGAGGGACAAAAACACACAGCAAACCCAGAAGACCCAACTGCAAAGCGGTTCAGCGAGTTTTGAATAACCAGTACACTGTTACCGAATAAGACAATATTATTGGCCAACTCCAAGCCTACGACTCTATCTCCAGGACGAAGGTGGACGCCAGTGTTTGTTGTGTAAAGTAGCACTTTTTGTAGGACATCCTATACGGCTAACTTGAAAATTGACGGAGAGATGGAGGAATCCTGTCACACCCCCACTGGTGAATAAGTCGATTACGGTTAGACGTTTTGTTTGGGGTACACGTGATCAAACAGATTCACAAGTGGAGACGCTGAGTGATGTGATTGAGAGCTGCAAACAATGGAGTTCATATATTACACTGAGATCATCACCCGTTTGTTGTTAGTTGTGTTGATACTACTATTAAAATGCCAGTTACCCGTTAAAAAGTTCGGTTGTCAAAGGACAGCAACCAAAAAAGATCTAAACTGTATGATCGGTAGTCAATCAAATAAAAATTAGGTTTCTTTTTCTGCTCTATACTTTGGTTGATACAGTAGTTGATGGTTATAATCTACGCTGCAGAATATGGGCAGAGGAGTTGCACGCTACCAGAAGGCTCTCCAGGTGGCGGATAGAACTATGGTCACTCGGGTGACATATCATGGATAGACGATCACTAACTTCGGAACCCAAGGGCGTAGTGGATTTTCGCCCGGTAAGCGATTTCTATCAAAAAAGCTACAAACAGCAGTAGAAAACACCTCGATGTATATGGATCTCAACGTCAAAAAATAAGACCATCAATATCACTCAACAGGTCACAATTGACTGTGAAAGAGCTAGAGGTCCATCTTCGAATACAAAAATTGAGTATTATCAAGAATACCACTTTTCACTGAACTCTCAAGAATTTTCATGCATTCATCCACTATGTCAATTTACCTCCAGGCAGGAGCATGTGGCCTAAATTTAAAAAGTGAATAATCTGGGTATCTAAACCTTAAATGAATGTATGCATGTGTATGGTCATCAAGATGCACTAGGGTGCTGTAAGAATCAGGACAGGATACAAAGGTATGAGGAACGCCGAAGTACGAAAAGGTAGTCTTTGCGAAATAAGATCAACTCTTGAAATTACTTATAACAGATTTCCACTGAGATCAATCTTGGTGAAAGCACAATGAAATGCTGTGCTGTGCAAAAAGTACGAGAGACACACTTACGCTTAGCTTAGCGTCACGTTGCAACGCTACGCCCGCTTCACCATGATGGGCTCCGATGGGCGGTTTCTTCCCATTTCTTGTGATAGATTTTCCACCCGAACGAGTACTGTGAGCACTGGTGCCTCGTTGGGAACGAGCGCTGTTCTTTTTCTGACCTCGACTACGCGATTTCTGTGGTTCGACGGACATATTTTCACCTGCAATGGACCGTAACAAGGGCTGACTGAAATAGTGGGAAATGTGTGCTCATTTGGGACCTATTGAAGTGAAAAGGAATTAATCTTGAACAAGGATAGTGCCAAATTAACCGTAAAGCGGTGTTGTGAGAATACGAAAGAGAGTTGAAGGGAAAAGGGCGAAATTTCAGCATTTGCGAAAACAAATAAAACCACACTCATTACAAATATAATTGTACTAAAAACACTGGGGTAGAAAAGCAACAGGTACCCAAAGGAATCATTTATATTTCCGTCCCTATATTATGAGCGGGTTTTATTTTGTAAAAGGGCCTTTATAAAGGCGTGGGCGGCCCCTAAAGTAGCCGGTTGAGAGCCATGGTCGACCGGGTATCTAACCAAAGACTATTACTGAAGAGAACGCCTGAACAAACATGAATTGGCAATTTGGTTCAGCCATGGCATGAGCTGGTTGGCGCAGTGGTAACGCACACGCCCTCCATGCGATGGGTCAGGAGTTCAAATCCCGGACGGGACGGTGGATATGCACTACTGATGAGCTCCGATAAGAATGACACTCGAGGCTAATGTTTCCCAGTGTATCGTTGATTCGATGAACTGAGGACTGTGTGTGAAGGTGAAGTCCGAAGGATAGTGAGTCCAATCAATCACAGACATTTAGGTTCATTCGCGCCACAACCTGAAAGTACAGCAGTCTTCAGGTGAAAGGTTTTTATTAACTTGTGCATTTTTATTGCTATGACATGATCCGGCCTATATGATCTTCCTTCAGATCAAGCGCAAAAAGGTGACATCCACCGAAAACAACTAACGGACGAACATCCTCAATGAGAACCCGTCATGTTTCAGATTCATACAGTAATGCTGTATCTACAGTAGCCCTATGCCCCGTACCCTTAGGGAGCAAGACAGATGCCTTGGCTGTATCATAAATACTTCAGTCTAGACAAAGGCAGAGCGAGCCCGATCGGTTATGGAACAGTTTCCAAGATAAAGAAAATCCCAGAACATGTCTAGTTTTTCCCCAGATAATGCAGGTGCGGGAACAATCTACTGCTGGTTGTGAATAAATACTTGACGATGCTGTTGCACGGCTAATAGAGAGCACGTTCCAGGTAGATAACGATGTGGCAGCCTTCGAGATGCATCTAATAAGTGAATGATGATAACCACTTGTGAAATATTAATTAGTTCAACTGATTTTTTCTTTGTCGATCCTCATATGCTGTATTAGGAAGGTTGTTTGTATTGTGGGCTTAAACTTATAGAGTGAAAAATTATAGATATTGTCGAATTGATAGTGTATGGGATGAATCTGTGATTTTCCGATTGGCGCCTTTATGCAAATTAAACGTTCATATACGTAATCTAACAACCAGAATAGATAGCTGAAGGGTGCATATCTGCAAAAAGACTAGTAAGTCCTAATAAAAACTAGAGAAGTGACCGCGATACGGTATTTTCAGAAGTACATGGTAAAAATCTAAAAGAGCGAAAACAATGTTATAGAAAAACCATTAAATTGGAAACATGAGAATTAATAAAGAAAGACAAAAATTACTCGATTCATCATCCTGTCGAGAAGCAGCACCATATTTACGTTCTTCATCGCTGGCTATCTGAGAGCCAACATCACCCTGACTATCCGGACCGTCGTCCACAGTTTCGACAGCAGTTCGACCTCGTTGGCCTACCGATGGTGTAAGTTCTTCGTCATCGACTGACGAGGCGGAATACGGTCTTCCTTTTCGTGGGCTAGATTTTCGGGGTTTGGAATTCGGTAGCGTGGCTGCGGAATCACGTTCGGGTCGATTGGTCGAGCGACTAACAAACGCCTCGTATGTATCAGACGGATTAGCGGAAGTTGAATAAATCGAGTCTGGCAGAGTGAATGTTAACAATACTGTCGCGTGCCCTCGAGTCTCTGTGAAGTCAGCGGTTATCAACTGCATAAATAAGCGCATAGATGAGAGAACAGAATGAGAGAAAAACAGCAAAACAGACAGAACATGCGTTCTTTTCTCCCATGTATTTGTTGGACGTCACAGAAGTCAAAAGAACGAAAGTGCAGACAAGCATCACAGAGTACATGTTGGAGCAGTTTACATGACGAAACAAACAAGCAAGTTTCTCGAGGACTGTCCGAATTCGTGGCAAACGTTCTATGCAAGAGCGTGTCACTTAGACGCTTCAGTTAAATCTAATGCCGAAAAACTGTTCCACGAGTAACAGCACTGGCTTGCATGATTTCATAAATGAGTGACAGATTGGAAACAACCAAAAGCATAAAAAACCGTCCACCCATTCTATTGCTCTAATAAATCAATCGCTTGGAAAAACATAATGGGAAGGCACAAGACATACTACGTTGTTCTATTCCGGAATTGTAAAACAAGCGGAATGCAGTAGACGCGTGCCAGTGGTGAAAGTGGAGCAGGAGATTTGAATTTTAACTAAACATTGGTTACTCAATCGCGGCTGAAAAAAAACACAAGTGAAAAATAAACCTTCGAATCCTTCCCTTTTGGTGGAACTGGACTATGCTTGCTTTTGAGTCAACCGAGTGTGTGAATAGTACAATGCAATCGAGACGAAAAAGGATTGATCATGTAAACACGCACCGCAAAGAAACCGTATTCTCACCTTGCCTAATCGGGGTTCGCCAATAACTGACCGAAATCCGGGATTATTGTTTGTGTACACTTTGAAATGAGCAATAATGTGATCCAATTGTTTACGCCAATAGCCTAAAAGCAAAAGACAGAAATGCCTTTCAAGTTATCACTATATACGGACATAACACATCAATTTAACGGTTGGTATAACTGGATAGAATTCATTGTTGCTATTGAGAATGAACAAAACAGCTGCTTCAAAGATTTCTACTAATCCCCCAACTAATAAATAAATCCGGTAGATGTATGGTGTTTCTGCACAAAAGTATGACTTAAAAAATAACATATTTGGGACTTTCTGGATGTTCGCATGAGATAACGCAAACGTTTGTGACTGAGTGAGCTAATCCATCCAAGACCGTAACTACAGAGCTCCACACTCGACTTCTCAAGGACAGATTTAAAATAAACCAAGCCAAACAGGTATGTAATTGGATACATCTGGCTCCGTATAATGAGTGCTTATTTCGACTGGCAGTGCCAAGCGCGATGCAGAAATTAGATAAAACTTATTGCACGTATATTTGTTTAGTGTGACCGTCTCATGAACACTGAGTGATTGGCTGGACGGCGTAGGGATAGCAGAACTCGGAGATTGGCTGAGTATTGAAAACTAAGGTAACACTGAATCCTTAAACATTCGGATAAAGGACTAGAGAATATTGAGTACATGGAATTTTCATGAAGGTAAGCTTTACTTGCAAAACGCAGATTCAACAGTAAGGTATTAAACGTGTAAAACAGTGATTCCTGCGTTCAGGTACAATGTGCGCCGAAAAAGCCACCGCAAATTGGAATTGATTGGTTGCTGAAGAATCGATGAATACGAAGCAATACTAGTCCAGGTGATCCAGAGAACAACAGGGGAGATATACCCACCTCGACCGGGGCTGACGGCAGTCAGCAACGGAACCCGATCACGTAGCTGAGTGTCCACACCGGACGGAGGGCGTGTCAGAGAGGACTGTCTGCGAAGGTCGGCAGAACTTGGATAAAAAAGACCGACGGTTTGTGTGGCCGCGTTAGCGACGACAATCGATGAAGTGCGTTTGGTTGGAGAACAAGAACTCCGGTCTAGCGATCGTAAGGAGCCGTCACCATCACCTGTATGAGCAAAAATACAAGACGGCGTTNGTTGGGGTCCGAAAGACTCCACAACCGGTTAGTTGGAGACATTGAAGGATGTGGCGGCTAAACGACGGCAGTGGCGTTCTTGCTGTCATTTCGTATCAGGCCAGAATGCTTGAAACGGTTTGCATACCGAGCTCGGCTGTGTAGTCTTTGTGTTGACCATAGAGGTTAACTTTCTTCTCCTTCATAGTAGGTCCAATCCCTGTCCACCTTGAATTTTACCACTAATCTTGTATGCATTGCGAGTTTGGCAGCGATCACTGAAGTTCGCCTCTCTGCATTTCGCTGTACGATGATGATGATAGCATCATCTGTTAGGTAATGTATGCTAAGTTCCTCAGCCCTTGTCTCTCCACTTCATTTTCTCTTGTGTTGATTACTGCCACCTTGAAATTTAATTGTATGGTCGTATATCATTTCAGTGTAGGCAATCAACAACATCACATATATATGTTGCTCTATCATAGCTTTCCATATAAGAAGCAGAAAAAGAATGCCAACATATTGAGACCAAATTATTTTCAAGATTAATCTGGCGAGGTGCAGTAACGCTCATGTGCACTCCGCATATTTTAACGTTTATGATTGTCTTACAATCAACAAGATTGGGTTGATCCAGCACCCAGTCTCAACCCAACTGGGGAAGTAGTAGAGGAAGTAGACAAATTTTGCTATCTAGGCAGCTATATCTC